TCTGGCCGAAGGAACCCTGACCAGCATTGATTACTCCTGCATAATGGAGGATTGACTGTCAGCTTGCCTTACTTCCACCTTTCCTCTCAGGTTCATTGCACAAACCTGTCGGATGACTAATAAAGAGCAAGAAAGGTAAGAGAAGCCACGGAATTTACAGTCCCAGAATTTGCCCTTCAATGTTATGTGACTTGTGATGGATCTTGTCCTTCTGCTGGCTGGAATCTCTGTCTTCTCCACCCTGCTTCTGAGTTGTGCCAGTCTTTGCATCGTATGTGAGAGACATTTATCTCTGCCGCTTTGCCTCTTGCAAGCCATACCTTAGTGAATTTTGTCTTGATTCTTCTCTGTTGCTCTTCATCATCTGGCATGGACTGCCTCGTCTTGTGCCATTTACAAAGGATCTCCGCCTGAATCAGAAACCTTGTCTCCGCCCAAACCTTCTCCCTTGGAGTTGAGAGTTCCTCAATGGTTCTACAACACATTTCCTTCCAGATGGACCAAAGCATTACCTTTCTGATAATTCCGAACCACGTTTTCTCTGTCTTGTCGAATTGAGCTGGGATGTTAGTCCATAAGAGGAGTTGGATGGGGTGTTCAGGGAGGGGAGTCGAGAAGAGGGAGTCCCAGAGATCATTTCCAAAGTGCAAATTCACAACGAAAGACAATGCCACCCAATTGCGAAAGAAATGAAAGCACTTGCAAAGAGATAGAGACCGAAGAAGAAGAAGAAGAAAGAAGAAGAAGAAGAAGAAGAAGAAGAAGAAGAAGAAGAAGAAGAAGAAGAAGAAGAAGAAGATGCACACCAGCAAGACCAATGACAAATCCCTCTCTCCACCTTCCTCCTCCTCCTTGACTTCGCCAATCTTATTCTTCTTCCCAACAATGAGTGGATGAACCAGAATCGATATCTGAAGTTCCCTCTTACTACCAGCACAACAACAGGTCCACCATAGCCATGGCTTCCCCCTTCTTTCGCCTCTCACATGCCAAGGCTATGGCGGGCTACTAAGGGCTCTGCCCTCTTTGTCCAAAGCACAACACAAAGCAGCTATGTCGCTGCTCATCAGGCCGCCATGCCTGACTCTGCCTCGAGCTTCCTTGGTGCGGCACTACCCCAACTGGGGCCTTCCAGATGCAGCGCCTATCAAGGTGATGAAGATGGTGTCCACCATAGCCAGGTAGGTACCTTGCCACTCTCCTCCTTCGCCACCCTTCTTCCTCGTCCTCAGGCTGGGCTGCTCACCATAGCCAGGCTGAGCGCCCAGCTGCCCTCCTCCTCTAGGCAGCGCTCCAAGTCCAGCGCTTGGCTCCAGCAGTATGTCGCCAATCCTTGCACACCACAAATAAGGAGGAGCTACTTGCTCCTCCCGAAGATATAGCGGCCTACTTGCCTCTTGGGCGGTGACTTCCTAGGCCGCGTGGCCTCTCAGCAACCTGTACCTCCTCCCTTTCAGAGGGAAACATCATTGCAGGCTCTGATATTGTCCGTACAGGCCCTAGACTCAGGCTACTTGGACGGGTACCGGCCTACCTCTAGCCTACCGCTACTGGGCCTCTAAAAATGCCAACTTTTTGTCTTCTTCTGTTCGGCCTCAAGTACCCGACACTTCTACCACTGCTTGAGTGGTACCGGCCTACCTGCTACTTGAGTGTTTTTCCCGCTGCTCTAAGTGTCGCGGGCCTACCCCCGCTACTTGAGTGTTTTTCCCCACTGCAACCCTCAAAGTTACGGCCACGGGTAAGTACCGGCCCTGCGGGGCCTCCCAACCAAAAAGTACCCTTGCGGGTCACACACACACTCAGGCAGACAAGCACTCAGACAGACAGGCAGACCAGCAGGAACGCACACACACAGACTTAGAAATCACAGCAGAATGCGGGAATCTCAGCAAGGCATGCATTCCAGCAGCAAATCCCAGAAATCAGCAGTGTTCTCAGTCTGTGTTTCGGCGGGTCATTACAGCTAAGTGCTATCTATGGACCGGAGACCCCAACAGAACCACGTGTATCAACAAGGTAGCTTGGAACCACATCATCAGGAAACCGCAGGAGGGTGGTCTTGGGCTAATTGATCCCAAAGTTCCCAAACAGGAATCCATAGCACTGCAGATGAAATGGATCATCGAGATCCTGATAAGACAATTCATTCTATGGACCCAGATGGCTCTAGACAGCATCAGAAATCTAGCACCTATCAACTCCCCTCCGAACATGAGAGGTCTTTTCTGGATAATGGCGAAGGACTGGACAATCAAATCAGGCAGACCTCGCAGAAGAAACCCAGCGGATCCTGTTACAACCCCCACCCCAACAGCAAATCCATACTGGAAGCCTGCCCTTGGAGCCTGGCGAAGAATGATGCCAAGCGAACACGGTGCACCAGGAAACAGAGAAGAGGTCCTAAGACAACCTCTGTTCTGCAACCCTTGGATCGTAGACCCGAGCGGTTCACCTTGGACACTACGCCCAGGAGACAGGATATGGCTATCCTGGGTGGAAAAGGGGTGTGGCAGGTGAAACACATTTGGGCAGAAGATCGAAGACAATGGCCAACCGAACAGGAGATCCGAAATGAATTCAAAGGCTGCCACGCCCTCACAGAAAATTTAACACAGATTCAGAAGAGCATCCCAACACAGTGGCTCTCCGTCCTAAGGGAGGACTTCTCGAGGAAATCCGGGGACTGGGGCATACTCATTTCCCAGACCCAGCCTCGCAGAGCATACCGATTCGTCTCTCGAACCAATGCACCAAGCTACCTCTCCAAATTCTTCTCCTACCCGATCACTAATCACAACCTACAAGAGTTGGAAATTATGAACAAAGAACCCCAGTGTGAGATGCTAGAATCCTTTCGGCTGAGGAAAGTGAGGGTCCCAAAAGGAAAACCCTGGATAGTCTTCCAACCTGATCTTAACATTTCAGACCTCAAATTCGACCTGAATGAGTGGATCTGGAAACAGGGAAAATCTGGGAGAACAAGAACGATGTTCGAATACGATCTAATATTCAGATATGACTTAGGATTACAGACCACAGACCCGGATCCCTGACTCAAAGAAAAATGGAGGGAGATCCTGAACCTAGAACCTACGGACCCCATTTCCATCCCCTGGACGAAGTACCTGTCCATCAGACCGCTTAGGATCCGAAGCATGCAGTGGCTCGTAACCCAGGCATCTCTGCCTGTCAACCAATGGCTCCTCAAGAGGAGGAAACATACGGATCCCGACAGCTTTGAATTATGTGATATGTGCACAGACAATAGACCAGAAGACATACCCCACTGCCTCTTGTACTGCATTGAAGCAGCCTGGATATGGAACAAGGTCCACAACCTATGGTCTCTCCTCTTCTCATTACCCCCTCCCCCCACATCTCCTCAGAACATCCTTCTTTTATCCAACATTACTAACAATCTCAAAGGCGGCAAGGAAATATGGTTTCACATTCTCAGGAAGCTGGCTCTGTGGGTGATCTGGAAAAGGAGGTGTACCAAGACTATCAAGAGAACGGAGGTGGCACGGGAAGAAATGTGGGCCCTACTGTTGAGTATGACGGAAACTGAGATTCGGTGCACATGGAGGGATGTGACATCAACAGCGAAAGTCAGACCACAAAGGCTAGCTACCAAGAGACGTTCTTTCATGAGAGACTGGCTTCCACAGGGAAAGATTGCAACAGTGGCAGATAGCAGATTGATCTGGAAGAAATGGCACAGCGAAACTCCAGCGAGGATGACGACCTAGTGATGGGAAAATTGAGACCATAGTCTCAGCAATATAGACAACTCTCCTCTTTTCTTGTTGCACACGAATTATATGACAGAATCACAATTGATCTGAGAGGAAAAGTGGTAGGGCACGCTGATAGTCAATCCTCCTACATAGGAGCAATCAATGCTGGTCAGGGTTCCTTCGGCCAGACGGAAGGAAGCGTGAGAGTGTTCACCATGTATTCCAGTTCTCGAGTTGTCGGTGGACAGGAACCGGACTGACGCTCCCCAGAATGGATATGGAGCCAGGACCATAAGGACCTGTTTAAAAAAAAAAAAAAAGAAAAAAAAAAAAGGGTAAATGTCACTAAATCATGTATCATGTATCTTACTATTCTTGACTTGCCGGGGGAATAGGACCCGGACTGACGCTTCACAGAATGGATATGGAGTCATTATGGACTTATTGAGGACCTGTTTTTTTTCTTTTTTTAAATAAAGGTAAAACTTTGGATACCAGTCTGGATTTTCCACCAAGTCGAAAAAGTAGGCCCTGCCCAAGACTTCACCTTTCCATCCTCTGGTCGCTAACTTTGTCCTTAATGTCATACTTGCAAGGGGACGCCGTCCGGGCGGTTCCGCACGTGCGGAAGACCGCCGGACCGGACCCGCGCGGCGCACGAATGTGCGCCCGACGACCGGTTACGGACCCCCCCCCCCCAAAAAAAAAAAAAACGGCCCCGTCCGGTCCGGTCCGGGTCCGTCTGGTCCGGGGAAAGGGTGCCGCACACGGCAAAGCGGACCGGACCGGACGCTCGTCCGGTCCGTCTGCTTGCAAGTATGGTTAATTTCAATAAAAATAATATAAAAAAAAAAACTTTGTCCTTCCCTCCAAGTTCTGCATTTTTACTGCGGAGTCCCTCTACTGGGACTCGGATCAGATCATGACCTCACTGAGGTTATCGTCTTCACCCTGAATGGAAATCCCAGTCATTATATCTGTATTGCATGTGACTTTCCGTCTAGATATAGCGGAAATGACTGCGTGTTGCATTTGGGTGAAGACGGTAGTAATTACTCGTCATGTGTTTAGAAATCCTCAAAGTTATGTACTACCGTCTTCCCCTGAACATAACACATGCGTTGCAAACAAATACCATACATAGGTTGCTTTCTATTCGGAAACAATGCATATGCGTTCTATTCGAACAGCGCTTATTTTCGAGTGCAACGCATATGTGTTCTATTTTGAAATTTTGAAAAACTCGAATACAACACGTATGCATTATGTTCGGGGGAAGACGGTAGTATTTTCAAGGACGCAGACTGTTACGGGCTCGTCATGTGTTTAGAAGTCATCAAAGTTATGTACTACCGTCTTCCCCCGAACATAACACATATGTTGTAAACGAGTACAGCACCGAGGATGCTGTCTATTTGAATACAATGCATATGCGTTCTATTCGAACAGCCCTTACTTTCCAGTACAACGCATGTGTTCTATACGAATTTTTAAACTTTTTGAAAACTCGAATGCAACACATATGCGTTATGTTCCGGGGAAGACTGTAGTATTTTCAAGGACGCACATCCAGGAAATTCAGAAGAAGAGCAAAAACTCAGCGAAAGACAGGCATACACATCTTGCTGTCAAAGCTCTTCTCCTGAGAGGCTGAGACTAAAGATCAGATCACGAGCACATCGAGGCTAGTAGTCTCTGACTCGTGAGTTCAGAAATCGTTGAAATTACGTACAAAGCATGGTAAACCCGGACCCGGACACCGAACACTTCCGGACTGTCTTCCGGACCAGTGTCTGGACCGGTCCGGACTGTCCGGTGATCCGGACATCACCGGACCCGGACAGTCCAGACTGGTGCCCGTGCTGCAAAAAATGTCCGGCCCGAAAAAAGA